TGTATTAAAAACACTGTGCAGAAACCTCCCACAGTCATGAATGTACCTTCATGTGTGGAAATGTCACCAAAGAGCAAGAAAAACTGGTTGAAAATGTGCAAGGAGAGAAGTGAAATCAAAAATGAAGAGCCTCACTTTGACGGGAACTGACACGAGATTAAAATGTAAAATGTGGGTCTGAGTTCATTAGTTCTGACTTACTGTCTCTGCCAGCACATATCAAGTTGCTTTAGACTTATTACCATATGACTGATGCAGGCAAATCTCTATTAGCTTTCGAATCCGTCTCAAATGTAGGTCAGCGGTGTTACAGATCTGTGTCACGTTTGAGGGGAAGACAGTGAACCGGGGCACTTTTAAACTGTAGTGTGAGCACAGGCTGAATTTTAAATGAGACATCAAAACAGCATCGTGCCCTGCAGTCCTGTTCTGTCTGCCGCTCCGCTTTTACTCTTCCTGGCACTTTCCCAAACTGCCCCATAACACGGGCCTGTATATTCTACAAGACTGCTGCTGCTGTCACGGCAGGCTGAGGTTCGTGGGTAAAATCCATAGAGAGGCTAAAAGGTGTCAGACATCCTAAATCTCAGAGGGGTTACCGGTGACATGCAAGGACGCAACGCAGACTTTCAAGGTTTTTCACTGCTCAGACTTCTCCTCGGTGGTAGCTAATTAATTGCTCCATCCTGCAGCCACACACAGACTGTGCAAACACACACCTGGAGTTTTTACCCAGAGATACAGCTCATGATTTATGTAACAGTTCTTATTGTTGCCAGATATATTTAAACACATGTGCATGACTCATAGCGAAAACACATCCGACTGTTTCCCCTCTAGTTGAACTCGTATGTTTGAATAGGTGCATTTTTCCCGTCAGCAGAGGGAATGTGAACTAACCGCAGCAGACTCATCTCCGTGACCTTGGTTTTATTTGTGGCTGCAGATTAAAGCGTGGGAAGAGGAAGAGATGGACAAGCCGATGGAAATCGATGAGATACGAGTGGACCCTTCCCCTTTTCAGCTGGTGGAGAGAACATCGTTACACAAGGTTGGTGGACAACACATCTGTGTAAATCGCAGTTCGATAGTCTTTTTGAGACCACCTTGTTTTCGACAAGGTGGTGGATGTTGTACATTAAAAATGTTATTAACGTTTGGAGAAAGACGTGTTTTAAACTGCTATGTCTACCGGAGCATCACTTCTCGTGCTCCTGGTATTCTGTGATTGTTCAGTATAAATCCTTTTCTTACCTCAATGTGCGTCTGCGATCCATCCTGGAGTTTCTCTTTAAGGAAGAGAACAAAGTAGCAGGAGCCAAATATGAGCAAAGACTCAGTAGATTCCCTTTTCATTGCACCCTGAGTGAAAGCTCAGTGGGTGATAGTTCAGGCAGTTTGCACTTTTTGTTCTCACCTGGACGTTTACGTGATAGCGCACAACCCAGCAACTGTGTTACTGACTTGATTGTCAAACTCTGTGCTTGGACACTCCAAACTCTTTGCAGCCAGAGACAGAGCTTGCATGTCCAGTGATGACTGATTGGTGATTTTTGATGTGTGCTCTCTAAAAAGCGTTTGAAGTGGCTCAGAGATGAATGAGGAAAGGAGTTTGAAGTGGTGTTTGACAAAATGGGCAGAGTCATCGAATGCAACAACAGAAGCCTTGTTTTTAAAAACATTGCTTGAAATCGCCATCGGTGGTCATAAACGCCAAAGAATGACCACATGAAAGCAATGCTGAAGCAACACTAATGCAATAAAACCCTTTTTTACTTCAAGGTGTTTTTAAAAGCACTTCACTGTAATATCACCCTCCAAACACTTTCCATACATACATCTCTTTATTAAATTAAAATTAAATTAAAATAACAACATTGACCAACATAATTGTGATTATGGTGTTTTTCTATTATCAAGGACTCGTCTGCTGCACTCTCAGCAGCAGTTTTCTTTGTCAGTGTCTTTGATGTTCCCAGTATTATACGAAATATGAACTCAAATGACCATGTTGTCAACCTCCTCTGTTTTCCAGTCGTATGGCGCCTCTATAAAACACTGAGATCCTTCTTACACATTCAGAAACATCATTTCATGCACCATTTACTGCATTTTGTCTCAATGAATGCACATTTTTCTTTATAGGAGGTTTTGTCTCCAAAGCTTGTTTCCTAAAACTACCATTTCATTGAACTACTGGGGAAAAGCTGTTACCCAGTATGTCAGGGTCCCCCAGAAATCTTGCTGTTAGACATCAGATGGCAAATTACTGCAGTACTAACTGTAACCTGTTAACAGTAAATATAATTTACAGTCATACAGTAGCTGATTTATTGTTGTTTACTGTGTTTTGTGGCATTTAACTGTAGAAATGACAGAAAACTAACAAGAAAAATCCTTTTTTTCTTAGAAACAGAGACAAAGTTGCTTTATTTTTATTTTATTAATCATTGTCACACAGTCTGAAGGAAATTGCATTTATTCCAAAATGTACAGTTGCCTTGAAGAAGAGTTCGTGTATTTTATCACATGCATTATGCAAGCAAACAACCATATAAATGTAATTCAGCCCCACGGGCAGTGGCAGTCTTTTGTTGGTGTTCCCACTCTCAGCTGCTAAGTTGTTTACTTCTGTTACATCTCATTCAGCTGAAGATGTGGATCACCTTGACAGGGGAGTAATGACACATGAAAAACACTTAGCGAGGACTGTTTTTTATTCACACAATGTTGTCTGAAAAATAGAGATGGACACGACAGTTTTTCATTTTTGACCGAGAACAGAATCTTGTTTCCTGAGGTGCTGTTATATAAACCCAACGTTTATATGTGGGAGCTGGAAAGTGTGGTTCCTGTAGATTGGTGCAAACACTGAAACGTGCCTCGTTGAAGGACAACTCGGGGATAGGTGGGAGTTGGGAGATTGTTCGAGCTGGGTCATGTTTTCATCCAAGCTTATTGTGTCATGATGGTCCTGATCAACACTGATTTGAATCCTCATAAAAACATGTTGCAAACAGAAGAATAATCAGCAATACTTATTGATAAGAAGTTTTAAGTTCACCTGTTCTGCCTTTTCTTATTTTTTGTCATATAAAAACTTTGAAATAATGAGGTCAGTGCATCAATGAGTAACCCACGTGAGCCAAAAGCTCATCTTGTCAGCCTGCTCTAAATCATTTTTTTTCTACTCTTGTCTCTTGTGTAATGTTGCAGTGAGGGGGTATCCCTAATGTGGTTATCTCAGCCATAAAAGCCCCGCCCACATGCAACCTTCTGTTTGTTGGTGGCAGCAAATGGTTGGTAGGATCTTGGTATTAGGGCTGCCACAAACGATTATTTTGATAGTCGACTAGTC